TGATGGAGACACAAAAGGATCTGTCAGCGAGGTAGGATCTGAACCAATTGAGGGCTGACCCTGTGATGCACACCCACTGCTCCAACCAAGCAATGAGGATCTCATGGTCGATGGTGTCAAAGGCGGCTGTGAGGTCCAATAGGACAAGCAGCACAGAATTACCAGTTTCAGTGGTTAAGAAAATTTCATTAAAGACCTTCAGTAGGGCAGTTTCAGTGCTGTGGAGAGGTTTAAAGACAGATTGGAATAACTCTAAGATGGTGTGACACTCCAGGAAGCACTTCAACTGGGACTCAACTATTTTCTCCAGTAGTTTTGAAACAAATGGGAGTCTGGAGACAGGCCGGAAGTTGGATATGACTGAGGGGTCAAAGTTTGTTTTTTTCAGGAGAGGCTGGACAGCAGCATGTTTAAAGGGTTTTGGCACCATGCCAGTGGATAAACTACTGTTTACTATATCAAGAATGGATGGACCTAGAGTAGGAAAAACCTCCTTTAGTAGTCGAGGGGGGACCACATCAAAGGGGGAACCAGAAGGTTTCAAGCTGCACATGACCTGCTCTAGAGAAGATAGAGTGATGGGTTCAAAATGGTCAAATGGAGCTACAGATTGAGGTGGGATGGATGGGTCATGAGTTGGAGGGGAAATGAGAGCCCTGGTGGTCGCAATTTTTTCCAAAAAGAGAGTGTAGGAAGTTCTCGCACAGCTCAGTCGAGGCTTCCAGAGGTGATGGTGCAGTGAGGTGGAGAACAGAGTTTAGGGTAGAGAAGAGGACATGTGGGTTACGAGAGTTTCAGGTAATTATATCAGAGAAGTATTTGGATTTAGCAGCTTTCACTGCTTTCTGATAACGGTGCCAACTCTCTTTAAGTATTTGAAAAGAGACCTGCAGCCTGTCTTTCCTCCACTTTCGCTCCGCCCTCCTACATTGCTGCCTAATGACCTTGGTGATGTCACTCAGCCAAGGTTCTGCTCTGAGTTTTGATTTTTTGGTTTTAACAGGCGCAACATGATCCAGAGTCTTTAAGTAGACAGAGTTGAACTGGGATGTCAGCTCCTCACTAGTGGTGAGAGACACCAGGGGCTGAATTATCATTTCAGAGTTATAAACATCTGTGAAACGTGCGGCAGTGAAGTGATTAATGGCCCGGCTACTACATGCAGGAACACATGACTTAGGAATTAGATGGGGGAGGGTGAACTCAAACCGGACTGGCATGTGGTCTGAAAAAACATTATCACCAATTTCAAGATTACTAACAGTCACATCACGAGTTAAAACAAGGTCCAGTGTATGTCCGCGTTCTTGGGTGGGACCGTTTACATGCTGAGTTAGATTAAATGAGTCCAATAAATCTAAAAAGTCCTTAACCAAGGACTTCTCCTGACAGCACACGTGCAAATTGAGGTCCCCACTAATGAAAACATGCTCATATTTTGGTGTGATTTCAGCCAAGAAATCAGAAAACTCATTTATGAAATCCTTAGATCGAGGTGGGCGGTAGACAAGTGCAAATAACATCGGAGGCGAGTGGCCGATTTGGTAGACGCTCAGCTCAAAGCTGGCGCGGGAAACTGGGATGGGCAGTTGTTTACAGTCCAAAGTTGATTTGAATATTGTTAATAATCCAACACCGCGCCGGCCTGATGGCAGTGGTGCGTTAAAATACAGACAGTTCGGTGGCAATAATTCCGTCAAGGCGCTGGACTCACCTGGAGACATCCAAGTCTCTGTGATGCAGAAAAAGTCCAACTCGTACTCTTGAAAGTAGTCCCTGAGGATAAAAGTTTTGTTGGTAACAGATCTTGCATTGACCAAACACATCCGGATACTGTCCAAAGTGGAGCCAGCAGCGGTGAAGTTTATGTGCCAGATAAAAAACGAACCAAACATAAATAATCCGAACACCATCAGCAGAGGTGGATTGCAAGCCAAGTACACAGGCGCCATCTTACCGGAAGTCCGGTATGGATGGATGGATGGATGGATGGATGGATGGATGGTTGGATGGATGGATGGATGGCTGGCTGGATGGATGGATGGCTGGCTGTATGTATGTATGTATGTATGTATGTATGTATGTATGTATGTATGT